GGTTGGGGGGAGGGGGCAGGGGGCAGGGTCCTCTACGAGCTTTGCGGCAGACCCAAAAGTGGACTGGAAGTGCTTCTGTTCCCTTCTGAGTCTGCTGCCAAGCATGCTGGGGGACCACTGCCACACTCCTGTGGGATGCTCCATCTGCCCCACCACCTCAGCATTCACGAGCTGCCTGGTACCTTGAGGTATGTAGAAAAAACATATAAAGCTGTGTCTATGTCTGAACCGTCAAATCTCTCCGAATCGAATTGGAGGCTTCCAATTCAATTCGGAGAGATTAATGGGTCTCCTGATTTGATTCAGATTCAGAGATTCAGTCGCTGAATCGGGCTGGATTTCCGCCGAATCAAATCAGCAACCAAAGCTTCGCACAGCCCCAGTAGCTGGCTTGTTCAACATGGATACAAACAAAACCACTCTCTAGCTATCTACATACACAATGATACAGCCTGAATCTTGAAACCAGGGGGGCCACATCAAGAGCCAGGGGGCAAGGGGAGAGGGTGCTGAGTGACTCAGAGTGGAGGTGAACCCCCTTCCCACCCACCCCCACACCACCAAGCTGCTCCAGCTTTCCCTGCAGGAAGTGTGTTCTGCGGCAGGGGAAAGATGGAGGAGCAGCGGGAGGTGCCAGGGTGCACTGTCTCCAGGAGCCGCAAGTACCGTGCCACAGTTTGGCCACCACTACTCTAAACAAAATAAGGTATCTCACTATTTTCATAAAATTTATACCTCCTATAGTTAGCTGTCCTAATAATGGAGAACTTGAAATAAAAGATTTCTCACTTGAAGTGCCTTATTATAGAACTTGATGCCTTGTCACTTTAAATGAAAACTAAGATGTTGACTCTAAATTATTTTCCTGGTTGCTAAAACCTCAAAATCTGGTTAAAATATAGCTAGAAAGATGACAGAGACATGAAATAAAAAGCAATACAGGAAAACAAAACAATATTCCTTGCAATCCCTATTTTTTTCAGCCAGACAGCTACTTACAGCCCATTGGAAATCCTATATTGCTACACTATTTTTTAAAACTCCAGTTCTTTCTAGTTTTAAAATGCATTTTAAACAAAATAAATCTTTTCTAAAACTGATGTGTACCTCAAACTCCCTCATAAAAACAGTAGTTCAAAGTAGAACATCAAATCACTAAAGACAATTACTGCCTGCATTGAAACTTTCTATAGTTTAGGCTTTTGTGCACAGTAATTACATGGTCAGTGAGAATTAAATATCTAGAGGAAAGCACTTATAATGAAAATCCATTTGCAGTGACAGATGTAATTACAACCTGCTAGCACATACAACTTGCAAAAGGTTAAGAATGACACAGTAGCTTATTAAGTAACCATATTGTTGATCTGGTTGCTCAAATATGAAGTTGAGAACATTTTAAGGCAATATTCAACAAGGAAGGAAGGTGGCCTTGTGGGGGTGAAAGACCCACTTGGGCATTCAAAGGGCCTGTGTTTAGGGCTAAGTTTGGCACAAAGTGGAAGGAAGGGGACATTTTACTACTCATCATAGGGGCAAATTTTCATGAAGCGACAAAAGGAAGATAAATAAGTCTCCACCTTCTCCAAGTGACACCAACAGTTATTCAAATTTCTCACCATGCCTGGGGTCATTCAGAAAGCAGCAGTGAACACAACCCCCAAAATTGAACCACCCCTTGCACAACTACTGACAGGGAGAAACAGGGGAAAAGAGGAAAGGATAAGGTTAGTTTTTTTTGGGGGGGGTGGTATTTTTTTAAAATATGATATATGGAGTGTCACCTTCTGGAGATGGAACTTTTTTTTTTGTGCAATATGTCTAGTTGATACAGCTCAGATCCTTTGTTAAAGCTCCCAGGTGCAACTGTAATTACTCTCTCTCTCACACACACACCCCATGCTATATGAGGGAGCTTACAAGATTAATTTTGCCTTATTCCTAAAGAAAACTAGGCCAGCAGTTCTGAACTGGGGTGCCACAAGACTGTATCAAGGGTTGCACGGCTTCAGCACTGCTGCAACCAGTTGTAACTGCCCCACAGGCCTCTGTTTCTAGGAGGTGATGGAGCCAGACCGGAATACACGAGGAGGTGGTTCTTGCCCACTGTAGATTTATGGAGGGGGCAATGTGGGGAGGAAGTAGGGGAAGGGGTGCTACAGCACCCCAACTGAAAACTGCTGAGGTAAGCTGAGACAGTACAACAGTGGCTCTTACCTGGAGTGCTGTCAAATTCAGTTATGGCGGGGTGCCCTGAATCTAACAAAGACTGAGAACCATTAAGTTAGGTTCTTGGGTGGATAAGTAGTTTCAATATCAGATGTGCACTGATATAAAGAAAATTGTTTGTATCGGAAATCAGGCTGATATGGCCAATAATTTAGCCAATAAATGGCCCGTGCATCTGCGCAGCCGCAGTGCAGTACGTAGGTGGTGTGGAGCACAGCCCGGCAGCTTGGAGACCTGCACGCAGCTGATAAGTCTATGGTGGTGGAAGGGGAAGGGAGAGGGGGGTGGGGGGAGATCAAGGTCCCTGCGATGAGGGAGGAGTGGGGCTGGGGCTTGAGCAAGCACTGCCCAGCTGGGGCAGGGTGGGTGTGGGATGGAGCTGCGGCTCGTTTGAGGGGCGGAGGGAATGGGGGGGGGCTCCTGCTGCTGTGTGCCGCTCATCGCTCATCCGGGCGCTGCTCCTCCAG